CAACGGGCTCCAAGAGAGGAGGCGTCGGCCCTGCCACGAGGTTTAGCCCTCGCCCCGTCGGCCCGCTTGCTCCCTGTTCCACCCCACCCCCCCCACACCGCCCCGCCTGCCTGGCTGCAGAAGACAGCACCCAGGTTCTGCTCTTGGGGTAGGGGGAAGGTGCCCCTAGGACCCAGGCAGGGGACCCCAGCCCTGAAAGGCGGGCCCAGGGTCCAGTATCGGGCCAGTGGTGGCCACCCTCCCTGTGTGTCTCTGGGGGACAGTGGCCAAGGCAGGACTGAGCCCTCCCGAGTTGTCCCCTGCCGCCGAGCGCTGGGGCGTGAGAAGAGAAAGTACTAACATCGCATGTCTCGGCAGGTTGGCCCTGGGCAGCAGGGGTCCTTTGCCTGAACACCCTCCCTTGGGGCCTTGCCCACCTGCTCCCCCCAGCCCCAGCACTCAGGACGATGAGGGACCCTGTGGTTTCCCAGCCCTGGCACTGAGCCCAGCACGGGGGTTGGGGGGGGTCCCTCGATGTTTGTGGAGTGTCCAGCTGCCCCCCCGTCAGCTCCCTGGAGGATGAGTCCCCAGGCACCTGATCCACTGGGTGCCGACCACCCTTGGAAAGAGGTGTCTGACCCCGGGGCAGAGGTTTCCTCCCAGGCGTCTCAGGCAGGGTCCTGAGCTTGGGGGACACCCCTTGCCAGGGTGACGCACGCAGGGGTCGGCTTGGGTGTGGCCACCTCCCCTGGGTCGGGAACTGCTTCCACTGGCCGCAGGCTGACCAGGGGGCCTGGTCTGGGACATTGTGCCTCTTTCTGAGACAGCCTGTCATTCAGACTTTTAATAAAATTGTGATTTTGGTGTGAAACGTCACATGCACGCATATGGTTTGCGTGCACGTGTACATGTATGTTCTTGCGTGCATGGTCGTGCACGTGTGTGCGTTACAAGTGTGCAGGGCTATGTGTGCACATGCTTGCACGTGTGTGCATGTGTGCACGTACATGTGTGTGGGCGTGTGCAAGTGTACGTGTGCAGGCACCACCAGCTTTGGAAGCAGGTCACCCATTATCAGACCTTTGTGGTCTCTGTGTGGCCCTCTTCCCCCACCCCTTCACTTCCTCTCCTGGGGATGGTGGCTTCTCTTCTGGAAGTGTCCCTAACACAAGTCGCCAGCCCACAGCCCCTGAATGCTCTGAAGTCAAAGCTTTCTTCTCTGTGTGGCAAAAACTCACTGGTCCAGTCTGCTGGCGTGTGTGGCCCGGTCTTACTGGAGGAAATGCCTGTGCGGGGGATGGCGCCTGCTACCCGTTGCACCCAAAGGTCCTGAATTCCAGAACACACCACACTACACCCTCTCCAAAGGCTGGAAGGGGGGGTCCTTCCTGGCCTCCTCCGGTTCCTGGTGGCCCCAGGAGTTCCTGGCCTTAAGGCTGCACGCTCCGCCTCTGCCCATGGTCACATGGCGTCTTCCCTGGCTCTTCTCCTCTTGTATAAGGACACCAGTCACATAGGAACAGGACTCACCCTACTCCTGTGACCTCACGTTAACACGACTGATTACATCCGCAAAGACCCTATTTCCAGACAAGGTCACATCCTGAGGTTCCTGGTGAGCATGAATTTTGGGGGGACACCATCCACTCCACCCCACCCCGTGTCCCTCTGGGACAGGAGGACCCACAGACCCTCCTTGGTGGAGCCAACACACCAGTGAGGGACAGGGACGGCAGGAACAGTAGGGTCTGTGCACGCGGGGGTAGAGAAACACTGACACCTGGTGCAAATGGAGGCTGGGGTGGCTTTTCTGGGGGGACATGAGCTGAGACCTGGGGGACAGAGGAGCCCCCATGCCACAGTGGGGGACTGGTGGAGGCTGGGGGACTGCAGTCAGCGGGGGGAAGGCTCTCAGTAGGTGGCTTGACCTGGTGGATCCGTTAAAGATGGCTGTGTGCGGGGCAAGGGAGGGGCTGGGGAAACCCGCTGAGTGGGGTGGGACTGCAGTGACCAGGTCCTGGGGCTCCTGGGGGCAGGGCACTGGCTGAGGCCCATCCCCCGAAGGTCGCGTGTGCCCCAAACTACGCTTGTCGGGCAGTAGGAGGGGTGGTGGACCAGGCGCCGGACAGACAGAGGGACAGACAGAGGGCTGAGCCCCAGCCCCGCAGCTGTGCGGTGCCACAAAGGGACAGTGGGGCTTTGACGGGACACAGTGGGCCCCTGAGAAGGCGCTCGTGGCGTCATATTTTCTTCCTCCAGAAGAATCGTGGAGTGTGAGAGTCGTGCGGGAGACAAGGGTTACTCGGCTGCCCGTCGAGCGCCCACCCTTTAAAGGAACAAGGCGGCCCCTCTCCCCGTCCCTGGGCTCAGACAGCTGCCCCTTAAATATTAATCAGGGCGATTGAGATGCAAATGTACTCCCGGCACAAAGCCTCGCAGCTGCGCCCCGAGCCCCCGGCCCAGGTGGCAGGCCTGGCCGCCAGCGCAAGGGGGAGGTGGCTCGCGGTGACCTCCGTGAGGACAGACAGATCCTCACTCCTGGAGAATGCGGTGGCTTAGGGAGGGGGAGGTGTGGGCCTCCTCTCCTGGAGGCTGGTCCTAGGAATAGGATTTCCTGACGGTACACAGAGCCCCTGGGTGGTGCAAACCGTGAACACGCTCCGCCGCTAACCATAAGGTTGGTCGTTCAAGTCCACCCAGAGGCACCTTGGAAGAAAGGTCTGGCGCTCTACTTCTGAAAACTCAGCCACTGAAAACGCCATAGAGCACAGTTCTTTTCTGACACACACGGGGGCGCCATGAGTCAGGGTCGACTCCACGGCCGCCGGCTTGGGGGGACTGGCGGCTGAGTGGTAGAACTCTCGACTTCCGGGCGGGAGACCCGCGTCTGACTCCCGGCCAGGGCACCTCACGCGCAGCCCCCACCCGTCTGTCAGCAGGGGCCTGCGTGTTGCTCGGATGCTGAACAGGTTTCAGCAGAGGTTCCAACAGGTTTCAGATGGACTAGGAAGATAGGCCTGGAGACCTGCTTCCAAAAACTCGGCCACTGAAAACCCTCGGGAGCACAGGTCCGCTCTGATACACATGGGGTCACCATAAGTTGGGGTCAACTTGACAGCACCTGGCTTTTTATTTTTTCAAGGTTACAAAATTGTGGTATATTTCAGGTGTTCGTTTTTTTTTTTTTTTGTGCTTTAAGTGAAAGTATACAACACAAGTCAGTCTCTCATACAAAAATCCATACACACATTGCTACGCGACCCTAGCTCCTCTCCCTATACTGTGACAGCACACTCCTCCCTTCCACCCCGGATTTCCCGTGTCCATTCAACCAGATCCTGACCCTCTCTGCCTTCTCATCTTGCCTACGGACAGGAGCTGGCAACTGGCTTTTTAAAATGCTCTTTATAATAAACACCCCCAAAACACAGTAGGATCTTATGTGCAACAATTAAAAAACTAACTCTTCTGTTTACAAGGTTTTTATTACGAAGGGAGGCACGTGGGATTCGGGGGGACACTCAGGAGGCAGAACCCATGACCTGCTGACAGGCTGATGAGGGCTCTGGAGGGGCAGGCTTGTCAGAGGGTAGGAGCTCGGGCACCTCGCATCTGGGCCGGCTCCCCTGCGACGTCGCCCAGGTGAGCAGACCCTAGGAGTCTGGGGTGGCCCCGTTGAGCTGATTGAGACGACACCCCCTTCCCGTTGTCAGGACCACCCACCACCCCTCCCCCACAGTGAGCGGCTGTGCGTCCTGTAGACCAGGGCCCACATGTGGGTCAGAGCCCAGGGGTCTCAGTGTGGCTCTCTGGGGTCCAGTCGGACCCTGCCTGCTCCCATCTCCCACGGGCTCCCAAGGAGCCACGCGGGCCTCCTGACAGACATGCCCCCACCCCCGTGAAAGCCCCCTTGGAGAGCTCCCCAGGAGCAGAGAGGTCCCAGGCATCTCAGCAGACCCCTCCTAATGCGGTTTGCCTGTCCAGCCCCCGGGAAGGCCACTTCCTTCTCGACGCCCTGGCCAATCCATTGGCCACGCTGCCTGTTGGAAGCCTGGAGGCTCGGGGTGGGGCTGGCCCACAATCTGGCCTCTACTTCCTCCAAGCTGGCGGCTGAGTGCTGTGGGGACGCACTGACCCCCGACCACACGCCGGCGCTGCCTGCCAGCCCCTTCGATGAGGGAGGTGTTGGAGCGGGTTGGGGACATCGTGACCCCATCAGGGGAGCGGGAGGGTGGGGAGAAGTGGCCAGCCGGGCAGAGACATGTCCTCGGGGTGCTCTCTCTTGCTGCCGGCTCCTGACACCTCCAGGACCCCGTGGCCCCGCCCCAGGGCTGACTGTTCCCATGACCCCACCTGCTCCTCCATCAGGTCAAGGAGCGGAGGCCCCGTGGCATGAGGTCTGGGGGTAGAAGGCACATGGGCTCGGCCATGTGAGCGGGCCCAGGGGGCTGGATAGGGGGCTGCCTCAGAGGGCTCCAAGATGGCCGGGGGTAGGGGGCTTGAGCCCTGGCTTCGGGGACATGGTGTCAGCAGGAAAGGGACAGCCCCAGGCTGTGGGCCCGTCCAGTGTCTCAGCTGAGGATGGCACTCCACAGCAGAGAAGGCAGAGTGGGGGCCGCGACGCTGGGGGCTGGACACACCCTGAGACAGGGCTGGCCCTGGGTGACGTGTGTGCATGGGGGTGGGGGGTCCTGTGCTCTAGACGTCTCTCTTAGGGACTGAGATGGGGGGACAGGGACAGACAGCTGAGCACATGGGCCAGGCCTTGGAGGGACTCTTCCATCGTGGGAGACGAGAACTGCACAGGTGGCCACCGGGGACCCCAGGCGCCCAGTAGACCCCACCTGCCTCCCCGCACTGGCCCCTGGGGTCTCTAAGACTGTGTGGGCTTACAGGAAGGACGCAGGCAAGGGGCTAGGAGACACCCCATTGCGCCTCTACTCACGTTGGCTTTATTGGAAGCCCAGCAGTGTTGGGCGGGTGGCCGGGATCTCCAGCTGGAGGAGACTCGGCGCTGCCCCCTAGGCGGGCTCCGGGTGTGGCCACTCTCTGGCCTCAAAGTAGTCCCTCAGGCCCTGGAGGCTGAGTGGGGGGAAGTAGGGGCCGATCCTCCTCCGCACCCACCACTCACCCTGCGCGGCGTGCCGGCCTCCGGGGAGGCTGAACTTGTAGCGGTAATGCTCTGCACGGACCCACCTGCCGGGGGGGGCGGTGGGGGGAAGGGAGGCAGGGTTAGCGGCCAACCCTTGCCCCTGTCCACCTGTGCCCCCACCCTCCCACGGCCGGCTCAGGCTCTGAGTGGGGCACCGAGAACTGCAGATCTCAGGGGGCCCCAGGCTTGAAGTCTCCGGTCCCCCTGCAGGAGGGCGGGGCTGTGTGACTGGCCAGCTGACCCCAGGGCCCTCTGCCCTCCTGAGCCCAGCACCCAGGAATGGAGACCATCCCAGGGTAAAGCCAGGGCACCCAGACGAGCCCATGCCCCTAGCCACACTGACGGGGGTTCCCATCACCCCGCTGTTCCCCACCACCAGTGAAGCAATAACCAGATAGCTTTTCCCCAAACAGGACATTTGGATGGAGAGAGTGCAGGGGGCTGGGGGGGATACTCCAACGAGCCCTGTCTGGCCCGACCCTCAGATGGCCCAGTGGCTCGAGCCAGCGTGTTCCCTCTGTTCAGTTCCCTGTCCCTCATGCTAGTGGAACCCTAACGGGGTACTCTGTGGATGTGAGATGTCTCTGGGTACCTGAGTCTTGGGGGGCATAATGGATCTGGCCCATATTGTCCAGAGCCGTTCGGCTGGCCCTCAACCAAATCCCAGACCCTGGCTGCCTGCAGGTCCATGTCCCTCTCTTCTCCCCTCTCTCCTGCATCCCCTCCCCAGTTTTCTGGCAGGAGCTGTAAGGTTCTCGGCCCCTTTGGGTGGCTCTGGCCCTGCGCCTGCCCACAGTGGTGACCAGCCAGCTCCAGGGCCCGATGGCTTCCCAAGTAGGCCAGGAGGAGCTGTGGGTGGGTAGGTCTGGGGACTGGAACTTGGAAAGGGACATAGACCAGACTTCAAGGTGAAACTGCCCAGTCCCCCTTTTGAAAGCACGTGTCTGCTTCAGCACACGGCATCCTCAGGGATGACTCCAAATGCTGCTGTCTGGAATGTTCCTTACCAGAGTTTCAAATGCAGATGCATGCTGGCTGTCAACAGCCACACAGCTGCATTCTGTGGGGGAAGGTTCTAGAAGCAGACCCCAGACAAGGACGCCACAGATGCCAGACTCGGCTTGTGGGAAGTGGGGGTGGGAAGGATGGCTGGGGTGCAGGGAGTTCCTGTGCCCCTCAGTGGAGTGGAGATGGGGAGAGGGAGGAGGGCGTAGCTGGCAGGACCTGCTCTGTCCCTCTCTGGCTTCAGGTCTCAGAGAAGACATTATTGTATTGGGGAGCAGAGGGGTCTGGGTCTGTCCCTTCTCCCCAGTTAGGAACCATCCCCCCAAAACTCCTCTTTGTCTTTAGGTCCCAGCAGCTTGGCTCTGATGTGTCTTGGTCTGGATTTCTTTGGGTCTGTCCTGTTTGGGGTCCACTAAGTTTCTTGGTTCTGTAGGTGTTTCTTTTTTGCAAAATTTGAGAAGTTTTCAGCTATTATATCTTTAAGTACTTTTTCAGCCCTGCCTTCTTTCTCCTTTCCTTCTGGGACTCAGATGGTACAAATTCTCCGATGTCATAGCCCTGCAGGTCCCTGAGGCCTGTTCATTCTTTTCCAGTCTACTTTCTCCTTGTTGTTCAGAATGGGTAATTTCTACTGTTCTATCTTCAAGTTCAAGGAGCCCTGGTGATGCAGTGGTTAAGTGCTCAGCATCTAATTGAAAGGTCGGCAGTTTGAACCTACTGACTGCACTGTGGGAGAAAGATGTAGCAGTCTGCTTCCATCAAAGTTACAGCCTTGGAAACCCTATGGGTAGTTCTACTCTGTCCTGTAGGGTCACTAGGAGTCGGAATTGACTCATGGCACACAACAGCATCTTCAAGTTCAATGATTCTTTCCTCTGCCCCTCATTCTGCTGTTGAGCCCATCCACTGAGGTTTTTATTTCAGTTACTGCATTTTTCAGCTTTAAAATTTCCATTGGGTTCTTCTTTATCTCTCCTGTTTCTTTGTGGACGCTATTTTTCATTAGTTTCAAGCATGTTTGTAATTGCTTGTTGAAGCATTCTCGCAAACCAGGCGGTTCTAACATCTGTCATCTTGATGTCATCATCTACAGATGGTTTTTGCTCAGTCTGAGATCCTCCTGCCTCTTCATATGGTGAATGATTTTCAGCTGAAACCTGGACATTTTGGGTGTTGTGCTGTTGAGACTCTGGATTGCAGCAAACCTGGTTTTAGGTAGCTAGTTTCCTCTGACACTACACTGGCAATGGGTGGGGGCACCGCCTCATTACTGCTGGGTGGGTGCGGATGCCCAGGTTCCCACACGCTCTGCACAGACACCATGGAAGAAACAGACCTGCTGCTGTTGAATCATGGCGACCCCATGTACTACACAGTGGAATGACCCCATAGGGGTTTCCTGGCTGCAATTTTTATGGGAGCAGATCGCCAGGCTCATCATTGCCTGAAGGGGATGCACGTTCCAGCTCCCCATCCAGCCATCCCTGACAACAGCCCAGTGGAAGGGCTGAGGGGGGCTGGGCTCCCCCTTATGGTCTGGTGAGGGTGAAGGCCCATGTTCCCTATGGGGCCTTTGCCTTCTTGGCCGGGGTGGTGGTGGGGGATGTCACAGTTATTTTGTGGTGTCTGGCTGCAGGGGGGCAGTTACTGTCTAACAGTTTTCTGACTTGCTGGGCTGTCCCTTCCTGGCCCTTTGGCTGGAGACAGGAGGCTTCTGTCAGGGCTTTTTGTCTGCACCTGTTGGCATTTGGGAGTTGCCGGCTTCTTCAGTTCCAAGTCTGGGATACAGGAGGCATAAACGAAACCCAAGGACTCACTGGCCTGTCGTTCCCTGGGTCCTGAGGTTGCTCGCCGGTCTGCCTTCTTCTCGGCCCTTTTCAGAGTCTGTCCGTTTTATGTGGCAGTCAGCACTCTCCAGAGAAAGAGAACTGGTAAGAGACCCATATCACCTCGGTGGGGTCAGGGGCCCCAGGTGTGGTCAAATGCTGGTCCAGGTGTTGCTCTGAAGGTGCTCATGCCTGGGGCAGCTGCTTGCTGGCCTCCAGGCCCTCATGCCTGCCTGGCTGCAGTGCAGCCCTGGGCCCTGCCCGGCCCAACAGCTGTGACCAGACCCCGATGCAGCTGCCTCGCTCACAGCTGAGGAGTTTTGGAGGGAAAAACGGATGCGTGTTTTCTGTCAGAGCTGATGGCTGACGCAGGGCCGGGGAGGGGAATGTGCCAACACGCGGGTTCTCCTCTTGTTTTTGCTGCCCCATCATAAATCATACATTTCCAGGTGGGGAAGCTGATGTTTATCAGAGTGCCCACGTTGGCTGGAGGGCTGGAACGGGGCCACCTGCCTCCTGGGGTCTCCAACTGTCAGCGCTCTCCCTGCACGCTCAGGCCTGCCCCTACCCCCACTGCACGCCCACACCCTCTCTCCTCTAGGGGGACAAACAAGGGGCCAAGACAGCACAGTGGCCTCATCTGGGGTCTCAGCCAGAGCCCCCCGAGTCTAAGCTGCAGAACCTCTCTCCCCGAGGCCTGGCTCCACGGGCGGCCGGGTTGTTGTCACCTGGAGTTCTGGCTCCCACAGCAGAGCCTGGCCATCAATTAACACTGCAAACACCCTCACGCCTGTGGGAGGGACCCCCACCCAGACCTGAGAACGGAAGACCCCAGGCTTTACCTGGACGCCTGTGCCTCCTCGCCCCCGTGGTGCCGCCAGCTCGCTGAGGCCCCTCCTCTTGTAGTGTCCCTCCAACAGGGGCGCCCCACCGCCCTGCACCCTCTGCACCCACAGGTCTGATCCCCGGTCCTCTTCTCCCCTCCTGCCCCGTGCTCCCTGGGGGTGTTTGTGGGTCACCTTCCTGGGGCAGTGACGCTCTGGGCTCAGCATCTCCCCCACCCCACGTGCTGCCTGGATGCTCGAAACGGCCATTAGCTCCTCCCCACCCCGTCCCCAGGGCTGAGAAGTCGGCCCTTCATTCCTGTCACCTGGGCCCCAGTGAGGGGCATGGGGGCCCCAGGGCATCTCACCTGGGGGGTGCTCTGCCCGTGAACGGGTTGTGGGCGAGCAGGGACAGGGCCCAAGCATCGTTGGCCAGCAGCTTGCCCGCCAGGTGGATGATCCACTCATGCTGTTCGTAGGTCTGCAGAGAGGACAGGCCAGCATCGGCTGCGGCCAGGGGCAGGCGCTCCCGGAGAACCCTCCGGGCAAGGCAGGGGCTCCCGGAGAACCCTCTGGGCAAGGCAGGCCCTACCCGGAGCACCCCCTACAGCCCCGTAATCCCCGGCCCCTCCCTCTGTCCAGCCTCCTGGGAAGCCGGACCGTCCAGGCTCCTGCAGCTGACATGTAGTTGGGGCCGAGGCAGGGTCTCCCTGACCGCCCCCTCCACGGCCCCCAGCCAGGGCTCGGCTCCGGCCAGGCGTGTGTGGGACCCTCACTCATGCACGGGGTGGCACCCTCAGCCCCGGGCTGTCCGTTGGGTTCTTGGTGAGGGCCCTGGGCAGGTCATGTAAGAAGGGCCCTCAAAGAGACTGGGGACCCTGCTGCATCCTGAGGCTGGGCTTCGTGGGAACTGGGCTGGACCGGAGCTCTGCGCTCAGCGCCTTCCCAGCCTTCCTGTCCCGCAGCCCCGTGGCAGCCTATCTGAGGCTGAGGTCCTGGGCCCGCCTCCGTCTGCCCCCATGGCCCGTACCTGGAAGGCCGCGAACCACATGAGCCAGTCCAGGCGGTGGTGGTAGGGGGAGATGAGGCAGGGCCGCCGCCGGGGGTCGCCGGGCTTACACCTGAACTCGTAGTCTTCCCACACCGCGCTGGGGGCGCTGGCGTTGGGGCTGGCCGTGCCCTGGAGGATGATCTCTGTGCGCTCCTTGGTGATGCTGCAAAGGGGGTGAGGTCAGGGTCAGGCCCACGCCCCCGGTGCCCCCCTGGATCCTGCTGCCCGTGAGGCCTCGGCCTGGTCCCTCCCACACCACTCTGGGCAGCTGAGAGCCCTGGGTTCTGCCCGTTCACTCTGGGTCGAACCCCTCCTGAGAATCTGCATTTCTAACAAGTTCCCAGGGATGCTAATGCTGCTGGTTAGGGACCAATTCTGAGAACCACTAGTAGGGCAGTGGGTCTCAAAATTCATTATACATAAGAATCACCTGGGGATCTTGTTAAACATTCTGATTCAGTGTCATGGATTGAATTGTGTCCCCTCTAAAAATGTGTGTATCAGTTTGGCTGGGCCATGATTCCCAGTGTCGTGTGGCTGTCCTCTATTTTGCGATTGTAATTTTATGTTAAAGAGGACTAGGGTGGGATTGTAACACCACCCTTACCCAGGTCACATCCCTGATCCAATGTAAAGGGAGTTTTACTGGGGTGTGGGCTGCACCACCTTTTATCTTTCAAGAGATAAAAGGAAAGGGAAGCAAGCAGAAAGCTGGGGAACCTCATACCACCAAGAAAGCAGTGCTGGGAGCAGAGCGCGTCCTTTGGACCTGAGGTCCCTGTGCTGAGATGCTTCCAGACCAAGGGAAGACTGATGTACCACAAGGACCTTCCTCCAGAGCCGACAGAGAGAGAAAGCCTTCTCCTGGAGCTGATGCCCTGAATTTGGACTTGTAGCCTACTGGACTGTGAGAGAATAAACTTCTCTTTGTTAAAGCCATCCACCTGTGCTATTTCTGTTAGAGCAGCACTAGATGACTAAGACATTCAGTATATCTGGGGTGGAAATGCAAATTCCCAGCAGGGGTTCAAACTGCATGAACCGGTTTGAAGCCCTGGTTCTGAGGCCTCCACTGCCTTGAGGGACGTGGGGTGGGGGCCGGGCTGAGGGACGCTGCCTCGGACCCCCATCCTGTTACACAGCCCCTGGCGCCAGATGGAGCAGGACGGCCCCAGGTGGGCTCAGCAGCTACTGCCGCCACGCTGGCTGTGAGGCTCCCTCCTCTCCTTCTCTGCACTTGCCACGTTTTCCACCTGGTATGTGGGTGGAGCTGTCCTCCAGAAAGGGCGTTCAGGCCCTCACCCTGGAAGCTCAGAGCGCATCTGTGCTTGGAAATGGGGTCTCTGCAGGCGCGGTCAGCTAACAGGAGATCACTCTCTATATGCGTGGAGCTCTATAACCGAGAACGACACAGAGGCCGTGGAGGCAGACACTTCGGAGTCACAGCCCAGAAATGCCTGGGCTGCCAGGAGCTGGAGGAGACCAAGAAGGACCCTCCCCTGGAGCCTCAGGGGGGAGTGTGGCCCTGCCGATGCCTTGATTTCAGACTCCCAGCCCCCAGGACCATGAGGGAAGACGCACAAGACTGTGGAGGCAGACACTTCGGAGTCACAGCCCAGAAACGCCTGGGCTGCCAGGAGCTGGAGAAGACCAGGAAGGACCCTCCCCTGGAGCCTCCGGGGGGAGTGTGGCTCTGCCGATGCCTTGATTTCAGACTCCCAGCCCCCAGGACCATGAGAGATGGGCTTCTGTTGTTCTGATTTCCCCCAGTTTGTGGTCTGTTGTCACGGCTGCCCAGGACACACACACTGGGTTGGTGCGCCTGTCATCGGGCCTTTTAGGATCTGACTCTGCGCCCCTCCCAGGACGTGACATGGCCCCCTGGACAGAGAATGCCCTGGCATGACTCCAGGTGAACGGGCCAAGGAGGAGGGAGAAGCTACACTCCAGGTTTGAGGGGGCAAGCGTGACGAGACCCCCGGGCCCAGTACCTTCCGAAGGCCCCGTACGTGTTGACGATCCTGAGCGGGTTGAAGGAGACGTTCATCACTTGCTGGGAGCTGAGCAGGTTGAGGACCACGGGGATGCTGAGGTAGCCGATGAGGGCGGCCAGAGCGAGGTGGACAGTCCGCCGCACCACACAACCTGACAAGAGACTGGGTGAGTCACTGGGCTCCCGAGGCCGAGTCTCCCCTGCCCAGCCTCTGCCTGCCTCTGGAGGCCCTCCTTCGTCCCCGCCCCTTGGGCCAACGGAGGCCAGCGAAGTCACCTACCGCGTGTCTGCACAGGCCCGGCCCCCCGGGCCTCCTCCTCCTGCAGGTGCAGGACACAGTCTCTGAGGCCCCCGGGCCTGGAGGGGAATAGGAAGCCCAGGGCGTTGTCGTCGAAGCAGGCCAGGCTGGGCACGATGGTTAGCCAGTTCAGGAAGCTCAGGTTCCCGCTGATGATGAGGACCACCTGGGGGGAGGGGGAGGCAGTGCTGGGCAGGGCCCGGGAGAGGCTGCCCTGGAGCAGGGCTGCCCGGGGCCGAGGGGATGCCCTGGCCCTGACCGTCTTGCCGTAGCGGGCAGAGACTCCTAGTCACCCACTGACGGGGAGTTGATTCCGACTCACAGCGACCCCATAGGGCTTCCAAGGCTGTACAGCTCTACGGAAGCAGGCCGCCACATCTGTCTCCCTCAGAGTCGGTGGTGGTTTCGAACCGCCCACCTTTTTGTGAGCCGTTAATCGCTTTTACCACTGCGCCACCAAGGCTCCAGTAGAATGGCCAAAATGCTACCAGGTACTGTCAGGGCCGTGGAGCAACGGGAACGCTCACTGGCTGCTGGCGGGAATATAAAACGCGAGGACTGGCTTTGAAAACAGCAATCCTGCTCCTAGGTGACTACCCGAGAGCAACGAAAACTCACGTCCACACAAAGACTTGTAGGTGAATGTTCACAGAAGTATTATTCATAAGAGCCGGAAACTGGGACTGGCCTGACTGTCCATCAGCAGGAAGTGGCTGAGCACCTTGTGGCACGTGCGTCCAGTGGAATGCGGCTCAGCCACACAGAGGGAGGAGCAAAGCTGCAGAGGCCGTGACTGAAACAGAGGAGAGGACACCAGCTCACGTTTTAACGAGCGTTGTGCGGCGACTTTATGCTGACGGGCCAGGAGCAGAAACAAACTAAGGCGCCAGCAAGGCCAGGGCAGCCTCGGGGGCTCCGACTTCCAGGCGGCGTCTTTACAGTCTCATCCCGGTTCTGCTCCGCGTGGCATGTTTAAAGTCTCATGCTGGTTCTGCTCCACGCGGCATCTTTAAAGTTTCATCCTGGTTCTGCTCCACGCGGCATCTTTAAAGTCTCATCCTGGTTCTGCTC